GAACCGAGAAAATTCTATAAAAATATATTATTTTTATATTTTATCTATATATATTATTTATTTTCAGAAAAAAAAGAATATAAAATATTAAATAATTATTATGAATATTGAATATATTTCTACAAGGAATAGATGCACTTCGAGTGCCATTAGTGTTATACGAATTGCACACAAGTGACTATCAAATTGCAATATAACGAGGGAAACGACCTTTGGTTCCAAATATATTTTAGTTTGATTATATGTTTTTAATTTTGAAGTTTTGGATGTTATCGATAACAACTTTATTTTTTATAAAAACCAAAGCAACCAAAGTATATAAAAAATATTTTTTTGTTACATATATAATTTTATAAAAATACAAAATATATTTTTATAAAATAAATTATAAACTATTTAGATTATTTAGGTTAATTCAGTTAACCAATCAAATAAATCAATTGCTCAGTTTTTGTTTAGTTTGGGATAAACCATTTAAAAAATTGTATTTTGAGTGCATATAAGTGTTAGACAGATTGCACATTAGTAACTGTCATATGGCTTATACGGACTGAAACCGACCAAACTAAGTTTTTTGTTCGAATTTTATATGTTGGTTCGATAATCTTTTCTTACGTTTAAAATTTTAGTTATTTAGTGCGACGTCAAATTTATTTTTTAAAACAACTAAAATCTACCAAATTATATGTGAAATATTATTTTCTTATACTTTTATAAAAAAGTAATATTGTTTAACCAAGAAAATATAAAAAGTGAGATAAAATATTAAAATGCTAATTATGATTATATGTATAATATGGATAATATTGTAGGTCTACGTTAATTCGATTAATCGATTTAAGTAAAATAATTAATTTTGTTCGACTTTATTTTGGTTTGGAACAAAAGACAGTCAGTTCGGACTGCACAATAAGCGACCGAAACCGTGCACAATTTTGTTAGACAAATTACACATTAATGCATGCTATGCTGCACATTATTGGGCATTCTATTTATGTTATTGTGCATGTATTGAACTTTTATTA